GATTCTGGAATTTGACTGTTAAACTATTTAGTTGGAGTTTTTTCTTCACTGTTGCCTACTTACTCCAATCAAAGCAGCCGTCTGAGTCTCTGACTAGCAGAACGAGCAGTGATAATATGCTGATAAGCAAAACATTGAACGGAAAAGAGAGTGGGTTGTCATTCAAGAAACTGGAGATGTTGCTTCTTGTGTATATTAATATCTCTAAATAAATAGATATTGATGACTTGCCTTCTCAATCCCCCAACCCACCAACACACACTTACATAGACGAGTAAACAAAACCAGCATTCCAGAGAGCTTATGTCCAACTTCTTTCTTTTCGTGCTTAGCCTGCAGGGGAGAATTATGCTCATCCATGGATATGCTTCTTCCACGTGGTCTTCAAGGTTGAGTATATGTTTTTTGTGATTGTTTAAGTACTGTCTGATTTTGATCGGCATCAGCAAGTTTTGTTACAATATGTCATCGTTTCTTTTGTTCCAGGCTGCAGCTTTGGCATTTTATATGCTTTCAGCTTTTTTTGTTGATAATTTTGTCATCATTTTTGTGGTTACTGTACTCCTATCTGCACTTGATTTTTGGGTTGTCAAGAATGTAAGTGGACGCATCTTGGTGGGTTTAAGGTGGTGGAATGAAATAAATGAAGATGGTGAAAGCGTATGGAAATTTGAATGCCTTGACCAAGAGGTGAGCAGTGATGATTTATGCTTCTGTACTTTTGATCATTGCTTCATGAATTCACGTATGTCTTACTGTTCTTTTCACTATTTCTCAGTCACTTGCACGGATGAACAAGAAGGATTCGTGGCTGTTCTGGTGGACCTTATACCTTACAGTGAGCAATTATGTTTGAATTAACGGGTCAAATTCATCAATGGCCATCCAGCTTTATACTTAGTGTCCTTATGGTCATCTAATTTGATTTTGTTTTGTCATGGGCACCCAACTTTATACTTAGTGTTACAATGACCACCAAATTTTATTTTATTCCACCATGGTCATTCAATTTCATATAACGTTTAACCATGACCATCCAATTTCTTATAACATTTCACCATGGCCACCCAACTTCTTTTCACCATTTTCACTAATTTTAAAATAGGTAAAACGGTAACTTTGCATTGGTCGATTTAACCCTTTAAATAAAATCAAATTGAGTGACCATGGTGACACTCAATGTAAAGTTGAGTGGCCATGGTGAAACAAAATCAAATTAGGTGGCCATAGTGACACTAAATATAAAGTTGGGGATTTAACCCTTGAATTAACTATCTCAAAGTTCTCACATTTGAATGTTCAATATGGTCATGCTTGCACAGGGTAGTTAAAAAGGATATAAGCAAATGCTTGATATAGGGGAACTATTTTTCTGAGCAAAAAAAGAGAAAATAACTATTAATTTCCATGATTGTGAATTTTGAGCAGAGATTCTATTGCATACATTTAATTGTTTGGTCAAAAACATTTTGTATATTGGCACCCATTGCAAAGCCTTCCTATTTGTTTGAATGTAATCCACCTAAAGTGTTTCTTTTGTTTGTAGGCTGTTGTGTGGATCTTCTTTGGGATATTCTCTCTCATAAGGTTTCATGCTGATTATGTTCTAGTTGTCGGGGTTTGTTTGATCCTAAGCATTGCTAACATTGTCGGCTTTACTAAATGCCGAAAAGGTACATGGTCTTACTATGGTTCGCATTGATCAATTATTAAGGCATCTTATATGTTTCAAAATGCACAAAATGTTTTGTGGTATATGTAGAGAAAAGTTAGTGTTCACGCTAAAAAGATTGCTTATCTTTACTGTTTCATGTCACTTAATACAATATTTTATAGTTATGATGCTAATTATAATATAGTGGCTGTTGAGGTGGTTATTGTTGCTGTCAAAATACACTGCCAATTCATATTAGTTCCTGGAACCCTAGGCTACTTGATGACTTCATTGATTCTATTATTTAGCCTATGTTTGAATCTCATTAATTTACATTCTATTACATTCCATTTTTCTCTCATATTTTCAATTACTCAATCTTCCATAAAATAATATTACACGTAAACCGAAAATTTTTCCTTCTTTTTCGACTACTTATTTTTCAAAAAAAACACTATTCCACCCATTTTCATTTCTAAAAAATGGGGGGCCAAACGGGGGCTTACTGAGGCGTTTCCTTCTGTACTTCGTGCATTTCTGGACAATGAGCACAAATTTCATTCCTGCAGTTTACTAATATTATATATACTAAAACATTTTCTTATTCGTATAATTTATCTCCTTGGGCAATAATTTTATCCTTTTCTCCAGATGCTAAGAAACAGCTTCAAGCATTTGCCACCCAGAACCTTACTTCTCGGCTATCGTCTACCATTCAATCAGCATTCACCGTTGTATGAAAAACTCGATGAGATTGAGAAAAGAGCTTCTGATAATCTTAAGAATTCATGGTTTTTTTTTTCCTATCTGATCATTGTATTTGGTGATATAGAATTGTTGCTTTTGCTAGCGTTATGTAAATTTGATCAGAATGCCTTGTACACGATCTATACTGGGGAAAGTTATTCATAAATATGTTAGGAATTCAACTATTCGGTGCTGTTAAATTTTCCACATTTGTCACTACAGAGCTTATTCTTCTTATTCATACATATGTAGTGTTTTTCTTCTTATTCTTTTCATTTTTTCTCCGCTCTTTATTTATTTATTTTTTCCCTATATATTGCCACAAAGATGGTTTGGGTTTCGTTTGGTATTGTTGTGCTTTAAGAGAGAGAATCAGTGAAGTGCGATAAATTTTTGTTTCAAAACTACTCTATATTTCAAGATCAGTATTTTAACATAAATAAATGATTTATAATTTTTTTTTGGGTAAAAATATGTAATATTATTAAATATTTTTCTAATACTTTATATTCACTAGAGTTATCTTAAAATAATAATAATAAAAAAATCTGTTAATTCTCAAAATCTATAAATACAAAATAAAAGTAGTCTATATAGTAGAAAATGAATTAATATAACTAATCAAGGTTAATGTTGACATCTTAATTATAGATAATTGGAGAAGTTAAAAGCAGAATTTGAACAGCTATCTGTTGTCGCTCTTCAAAATGTGTTGCCAGATGGTTCAGATCCTGTTATAACCGGGGGTTTTTTTTTTTTTTTAATATATATATTAAAGAATTATTATAACCAGTTTTTTTAAAAGGGAAAAATACATAACTACAAATGATTCATAATAAAAATTTCAAAAGGATAACTGGCGTAAAATTTTCTTGACCTTTGCCTTGTGAAATACCCCTCCATTTATATTGGTCGAAAACTCCGTAGATGACCTTTTAAATGTGAAAGATAAGGGGTTGTTCTTTTTGCTGTTTTCTGTTTTCGATTTTTCAAAATAGTGAAAACGTATTCTCTTTTGTACTTCTGAAAAAAAAAATTGTACTCAAAACGTCAAAAATGACATTTTGAGTGTTTTCAATACAAAAACACGCCAAAAATTGAAAACATGGGAAACAACCCAAATTAAAAACCAACCCTTATCTCTCACAATCTCACATATCCTCTCTCTCCCCCGTAAGTTTCTGCCTCTCGCAGTTGTTCTCTAGGGTTTGCTTTGCCTTCCCAGACCAAAATAGCCTCACTCAATTCTTCAACTCCCACAAATAGTTACGCTCCCAGATTTGGCTCCTCAGATCGCTTGAGAAATTGCGTGAAGAGGTGAAAATTCCTATCAAAATTTCTCATATTTTCACTAAGGGGTTCATAAAGAGAGGAATGGGAAAGTTGGGGCCTTTATGGATGGAAAGAAAAGGCCAAGCAAGATTTTCACCGCCATGTCCTTTGACGAAGAAGAGAATTATGAGGCAGTGCTAGGCATGCCAACGAGCCGACTCGAGCTTAAAACTTTTGGCTCGAGTTTGGCTCGGTTAAAAAGACAGAAAATTCTGCCTTTTTAAGGCAGCTGGTTGGCCAATTTCTGCCTTTTTTGGCTGCCTTTTTTAAAGACATCCATTTTAATGCAGAATTTAATGTCATTTATGCCTCTTTCTGGTTTTATTATTATTTTTTTTTTCTAAATAAAAGCTCGCGGGCCTGTTGGGGCTCAACCCGTGTCCCCAAAATGGGGCTCGGCCCGAGCCACGAGCCTAGCTGGGCTGTGGACCACCCAAGCCATCGAGCTTTTTTGACACCCCTATGCAGTGGTGAGCACGAGTAGCTCAAGAATTACCTAGAGGAGGAACCTAATGATGCGGGTGAATTTTTTATTATTATTATTTTTGAGATTCTTGTTTGGTGTTAGTAATCATGTTACTAGTTGGTAATATCTGAATGGAAGTACTTTTTTGCCGACATGAAGAACTCTTCATATCCTTTATCTCCAAATTTTACTATCGTTGATGTGTAGTTGATTATCTACTTTGTAGAACGATAACCAGGAATATATGACTATGCTCAATAAAAATGAAGAAAAGTTTCTTTATCTCCAAATTTTGCTACCATTGATGTGTAGTTGATTATCTACTTTGCAGGACGATTACCACGAATCTCCGACTATGCCCAATAAAAATGGAGAAAGGTTTCTTTGCTTTTTGCCTAAAGTAGAGAAATTAAAGGGTGGGAAGCTAGTTAGTCTACAGAACACAAGCAGTATGATAACGAGGAATAAGGTTCACTTTTATTGAAACTCTTTATGGATTCTTGGATAGTAGATTATGGAGCCATGGCATATTTTGCACATATTTTTTTACATTAGAATAGAGGGGATGTTATTTTTTTTTTTGGAAATGATACTTGATTGTGAGTATAAAACTACATACATTAATGATGTGCAATTCAATATAGAAGGGATTGTTATTGTTTCACATTTGTACATACAAATGTGTTATTTGCCTCAAAAGAACTATAGACTTTTGAAATAATTTGTATGTCTGAGGTTTTAATCAAGACAAGTTTTATATTTCACAAATATGTTTCATGTTATTGAATTTCGATTTATGTTAGTGGTGGAAATGAAAAATAATTACCAATGGATTTGCTTTTAAGAACTTCAAACAATCCGTAAAATGGACAAGTCATTAGTTTTAAGAACTTCAACTAATAGATTAGAGTGAATAGCCCAAATGGTCACTAAACTTTGCACCAGGTCCGCAAAAGGTCACTGAACTTTCAAAATTGTCTAACTCATCACTAAACTTTGCGAAAAGTCCACCAAAGGTCACTGAACTTTCAAAATCGCCTCACTCATCACTAAACCTTGCATTTTGTAATCTCAATAGTCACTCAACTAACGGTCCATCCAAAAACTAACCGAATACTCACGTGACTGGCTGATTTGGATGCCAAGTCAAACAAAAGAAGTAGAGGTGGATTTTTATTTGAATTAAAACATGTTTTATAAAAATAAAAAATTTGAAAATTCCATAAACTGTTGTAGCAACAGTCACCACCGTAAACATGTTTTATTTATATTTATTTTTATTATTATTTTTTTTAATAAAACATGTTTTAATTTAAATAAAAATCCACCTGTACTTCTTTTGTTTGACTTGGCATCCAAATCAGACAACTATGTGAGTATTCGATTAGTTTTTGGATGGACCGTTAGCTGAGTGACTAATGAGATTACAAAATGCAAAGTTCAGTGATGAGTGAGGGGATTTTGAAAGTTCAGTGATCTTTGGTGGAATTTTCGCAAAGTTCAGTGATGAGTTAGATAATTTTGAAAGTTCGGTGACCTTTTGTGGACCTAGTGCAAAGTTTAGTGACCATTTGGACTATTCACTCAATAGATTAAAATATAGACTTCACATATTTTGTAAAATCATGGATTAAAATTAAAAATAAATAAATAAATGTTTACCAGAATTGCACTAAGCCTATATTAACATTAAACCGTTAAACTTTATTGAATAATCAGATTTCTTGAATAAAATATTATAAAAAAATATTCTCAAAATTTCAAAGTAAATGTGTTTTTCAATTTTATGTTTTGAGAAAGTCTTTTAGAATGACAAAAAAAAATGTATTTTCAGCAATTTCAAAACAGGCACTCAAAACTCAAAATTCAAAATAAATTCAAAACTAAAAACTGAAACACGTAGAAAACTACCCCTAGTATTTTCTTCCATTTTCTCAATAAAATCTTGTTAAATGAAGAATATACTCACTTCTTTAAATATAAAAAAAATATAACAAAGAAGGAAAAATAATTAATTACAATTATATTCCCAACTTATTCAAAAAATAAAAATAAAAATAAAAAATAAAAACGAGTCTCAAATATATAATTAAGAATTAAATTTGAAAAAAAAAAAGAAAAAGAAAAAAAAGCTCTCTCTTGCCTATCCTTATGTTCCACTACCCACCACCACCACCACTACTCAAGCTAGTGGATCCACTACCCACCACCACCACCACTCAAGCAGACCAAGCTAGCTACATCCACACTCTTCTTGAGTCCAAAATGGTCCTTCCAAGTTCCAACCCTTAATATCAGATATCAACCTTACAAGTTATTATTATTATTATTTGTTTTTATTTTTACTTTTTCAAATGATGCTCAATTAAACCTCTTGTATCAATAATTTCGTCAAATGATGGTCAATTACAGAAATATGAAGCCATAGATTCTTAATTTGACACTGTATGGATTAAAATAAGGATTTGATTTAAGTCGGCTCTCCCATATCGAAGAGAATAAAATTGCCATTGGTCGATAGGCTTTGTATTCGCTATGTTCCGTGTAAGAATAAAATTAGGGCTGTTTAAGCAGGCATCATGAAGAATCTGGTGGAATTCACGGCGAATTTTAGGTCGAACATGTTGGATAAATTGATGTATGAATTGAGCCTATTGGCGTCAATGCTGGAAGCCAAGGCTGCAATTGTGGAGGAAGGTGAAATTCTTGTATTGGTTGAAATAATGGAAGTAGAACACAACGATAGAAGGCGATTGTCATGGGTATATTATTGCAATTATTGTCATTTTGTGATCTCTGATAAAATATTGTGACATATATTTAATTAAACAATTCATGATCATAATAACGTCCAATTTACGGTCACAATCGCAGAGCGTCACTATTGACACAACATCAAAGACATGAAGACAAAATTTATTAGGTCAAAAATTATTTATTAGTCATAAATTGCTCAATTATTATTCACAATCACTATTCTCATCCTACCTCAAACCACCATCGTCGACATAACCAAAATTGTAGTCGTCACTTTAAATTTACAACCATTACCCAAAATACTCCAAAATCTGTCTATTCTTGTCTAAGCATTACGAAATCCTTGTGTGGAACTCTAAAAACGGTGGCCACAATGGAAGCTATTTCACCATCAAACATATACAAATACGATTTAAAAACCTCGAGCTCTGCCTAATTTTTCCCTCCTTTACCACCTTTCGATGCCTTTGTTATACCTCCAAATGCATTTCTCTATAGCTTTCACGTGCTGTTCTTACCTCCAGCCTTCTCAAATTCATTTGATCTGGCATTTTTAGACCAGTGAGTGATTTAATCAGTAGTTGATTTTCGGTGATAGTGACCTTGGTGGCAACGACAGGATGTACAGATCTGCATTATAGAGAGAGAGAGAGAGAGAGAGAGAGAGAGAAGAGAGAAATTATACATA